GGTGGTCAGACTGCCTCACGGGGTGGGCTCTGCCAGGCCAAGGGGCAGCTCCCTGATGCTCTGCTGAGGGCCACTTTCTTTTTTTTTTGAAACAAAGTCTCGCCCTGTTGGCCAGGAGTGCAATGGTGTGATCTCAGCTCACTGCAACCTCCACCACCTGGGTTCAAATGATTCTCCTGCCTCAGCCTCCCGAGTAGCTGGGATTACAGGCATGCACCACCACCCGCAGCTAATTTTTGTATTTTTAGTAGAGACGGGGTTTCACTATGTTGGCCAGGCTCGTCTCGAACTCCTGACCTCAGGTGATCCACCCGCCTCGGCTTCCCAAAGTGCTGGAATTATAGGCGTGAGCCACCGCGCCTGGCCACGAGGGCTATTTTCTCCAGTGCCAGTGGGAGGGGCCAGCCAGCAGGAGCCCCAGTCTGAGAAGGCTCATTCCCACCACTCACAGCCATGTCCTAGGGAGAGGGGGGCAGGCTTAAGGTATATTAGTTAGGACTCTCCAGGGAAGCAGAGAAGCTGATTTTAGGGAATTGACTCATGTGATTGGAGAGGCTTGGCAAGTAAGTGCAAAATCTGATGGGGTAGGCCAGCAGGCTGGAGAGTCAGGGGAGAGTTGCAGTTCAGGTCCAAAGGCCACCAGCTGGCAGAACCCCTTCTTGCTCAGGGAATGCCAGTCTTTTTCTGTTATGGCCTTCAGCTGACTGGATGGGGCACTCATGTTATGGAGGGTGATCTGCCTCACTCCGAGCCCACTGATTCAAACGTTCATCTTGTCCAAAACAGAACTTCACAGAAACATCTAGAATAATATTTGACTGAATATCTGGGCACCATGGCCCAGCCAAATTGGGCCACCATGCCTGGCCCATAAAAATAACCATTATGGGCCAGGCATGGTGGCTCATGCCTGTAATCCTGGCACTGTGGGAGGCCAAGGTGGAAGGATCTCTTGAGGCCAGGAGTGTGAGGCCAGCCTGGGCAACATTAGCGAAACCCTACCTCTAAAAAAATAATAAAATTTTAAAAATTGGGCCAGCCGCGGTGGCTCGTGCCTGTAATCCCAGCACTTTTGGGAGGCCGAGGTGGGTGGATCATGAGGTCAGGAGATCAAGACCATCCTGGCCAGCGTGGTGAAAACCCTGGCCAGTGTTTTCTACTAAAAATACAAAAATTAGGCCGGGCACGGTGGCTCAAGCCTGTAATCCCAGCACTTTGGGAGGCCGAGACGGGCGGATCACGAGGTCAGGAGATCGAGACCAGCCTGGCTAACACGGTGAAACCCCGTCTCTACTAAAAATACAAAAAACTAGCCGGGCGAGGTGGCGGGCGCCTGTAGTCCCAGCTACTCGGGAGGCTGAGACAGGAGAATGGCGGGAACCCGGGAGGCGGAGCTTGCAGTGAGCTGAGATCCGGCCACTGCACTCCAGCCTGGGTGACAGAGCGAGACTCTGTCTCAAAAAAAAAAAAAAAACAAAACAAAAATTAGCCGGGTGTGGTGGCAGGTGCCTGTAGTCCCAGCTACTCGGGAGGCTGAGGCAGGAGAATCGCTTGAACCAGGGAGGTGGAGGTTGCAGTGAGCCAAGATCACGCCACTGCACTCCAGCCTGGGTAATAGAACGAGACTATGTCTCAAAACAAAACAAAGCAAAACAAATTTTAAAAAATTATTTGTAATGACCATCACATAAGGACTTTGATACCCAGTGCCAAATTGCCCTCCAAAAAGATGGTGTCCTCTTCCGGTTATCCTTGGGGTGGGTGGGAGGTCACGTAGTCCTGGGCCCTGCTGCCCAGGCTTTCTCTCCCTGGGCTTCTTTGGACTCACCTCAGCTGACCCTGACCTTGCAACTTGACCTTGCTGCCCATTGGCTTTAAGGCGCCATATGGAAGCCAGTTATCCCTCCTGGACTTGCACAGCCAGCTCCTCCAACCCTGGGGGGCCCTGGCTGCCTTTGAGGGCTGCCTCCCAGGCTAGCTGGTGCTGGCTGCCCTGCCCCCAAGACCATGTGATGGTCCTGGGGCTAACCCAGCACTAACCCCTGCCCTTACCACTGCCAGGAATAGTACCGCTATTCATGTGAGTCATTTTTACTAGGTTTTCTGTTGTTCCTTCTTAAAATATGGCAGGGCTACACTTAAAAATGCTAAAGATGGTAAATACTGTGGATATTTTACTACAATTTAAAATAAGTGAACTGGCCGGGCGCGGTGGCTCATACCTGTAATCCCAGCACTTTGGGAAGCAGAGGTGGGTGGATCACCTGAGGTCAGGAGTTTGAGACCAGCCTGGCCAACATTGTGAAACCCCGTCTCTTCTAAAAATACAAAAATTAGCCGGGCGTGCTAGTGCATGCCTGTAATCCCAGCTACTCGGAGGCTGAGTCACGAGAACTTGAACCCAGGAGGCAGAGGTTACAGTGAGCCGAGATCGCACCATTGCACTCTAGCCTGGGCAACAAAAGCAAAACTCCATTTCAAAAAAAAAAGGATAAAATAAGTTAACTATTATAATAATGACACAAAATGTCAAAATATGAATAGTAAAACATAAAAATTTGAACCAAATAATATTAAAACACCACATTTGATGGTTACACACATTATACCTGCATCAAAATATCACACTGTACCCCATAAATATGTACAATTATGTATCAGTTTAAAAAAGAAAGAAGTCACCTCACTAGACCATGTACAAAGCTCCTTTGTATGTGTAAACACATCAGCAAAGCTTTCATGTAATGATTTGACAACCCAGTTCCCAGGTCAGATAGCCCCGTGTATCTGTGAACTCATCCCATCAGGAGATGCATCCTGATCGCTGATCCCCAGCCCCTAGCAGAATTCTCAGCACCATGAGCTCTATCAATGAACAAAAGAAAAGCAGAGCATCCATTCATTAAATCCGAGTATATACATCAGAAGAAATAATACCCAACTCTTGTAAATGCTAACGACAGTCTGCGTGGCCGTGTGGAGAGGGTGGGGTGAGACTCATAAAAGCAGAGTGGTAACAGGAGCCTGTAACTGTACCTACAAGTAAGCAACAATGTCACATAGGCAAAAGGTAGAATGTGGAAAATATTTAGGGGAGTAGTGTTATGAGTGATACAAAAATTTTAATTTTTGAGACAGGGTCACACTTTGTTGCCCAGGTTGGAGGGCCGTGGTGTGAACAAGGCTCACTGCAGCCTTGACCTCCCAGGCACAAGTGATCTTCCTGCCTCAGCCTCCCAAGTAGCTGGTACTACAGGCACGTGCCACCATGCCCAGCTAATTTTTGTATTTTTTTTTTGTAGAGATGGGATTTGGCCATGTTGCCCAGTCTAATCTCGAACCCCTGAGCTCAAGCGATCTACCTGTCTCGGCCTCCCAAAGTGCCGGGATTACAGGCATGAGCCACCACACCCAGCTATGTTACAATTAAAAAATAATAATAATAGGGCTAAATCCCTACTATACTTTTGAACCTAGTTTGAAGACTTCTTACCTAAAAAGTATGAGCAGTTTGTATACCACTGTTTTCCAATTTGGATTTGGAGACTTTTCAGATGTAAGTATTATTTTTTAAATTATTTTATGTGTGTGTGTATGTGTGTGTGTGTGTGTGTGTGTGTGTGTGTGTGTATATATATATATATATATATATATATTTTGAGGCAGAGTCTCACTCTATCACCCAGACTGTAGTGCAGTGGCACAATCTTGGCTCACTGCAACCTCCACCTCCCGGGTTCAAGTGATTCTCCTGCCTCAGCCTCCTGAGTAGCTGGGATTACAGGTGCGCACCACCATGCTTGGCTAATTTTTTGTATTTTTAGTAGAGACGGGTTTCACCATACTGGCCAGGCTGGTCTCGATCTTCTGACCTCATGATCTGCCCGCCTTGGCCTCCCAAAGTGCTGGGCTTACAGGCGTGAGCCACTGCGCCTGACCTATTTTTCTCATTATTAAAGTGGTATATTGTCAATGTAAAAAAAGGCATATAGAAACAAATCAAACCAAAGAATCCCACAGTCTCCTCCCAAATCCTACTCCCCAGAACCATACCTCCATCTAAGGGGACCTAACAACTGGGCCCAGGATATGACCTCACTGAATTTTCACAGCTGTTCCTTAGACATTTTACAGGCAGGGAAACTGAGGCTCCCAAGGTATCAGGGAACATCCGTGCAGTCACCTTATGGAGAGCAGTGGGGCCGGACCCAAAGCTCCATGGCGCAGGGATTCTTTCCCATTGGTGCCTGCATTTCCCCACCTATGCCCATTGTCTCCTTCTGCCTGTGGTTTCTTTTTTATGTATTTGTTTGTTTATTTATTTATTTATTTATTTATTTATTTAGAGACGGAGTTTCGCTCTGTCACCCAGGCTGGAGTGCAGTGGTGTGATCTTGGCTCACTGCAACCTCTGCCTCCCAGGTTCAAGCAATTCTCCTGTCTCAGCCTCCTGACTAGCTGGGACTACAGGCGTCTGCCACCACGCCTGGGTGATTTTTGTATTTTTAGTAGAGATGGGGGGTCTCACCATATTGGTCAGGCTGGTCTCCAACTCCTGACCTCAGGTGATCCACCTGCCTCAGCCTCCCAAAGTGTTAGATTACAGGCGTGAGCCACTGTGCTCGGCCAGTTTCTTTTTTTCTTTTCTTTTTTTTTTTTTTGAGACAGAATTTCGCTCTTGTCGCCCAGACTGGAGTGCAATGGTGCAGTCTTGGCTCACCGCAACCTCCTCCCAGGTTCAAGGGGTTCTCCTGCCTCAACCTCCTGAGGAGCTGGAATTACAAGCACCCACCACCATGCCCAGCTAATTTTTGTATTTTTAGTAGTGATGGGGTTTCACCATGTTGGCCACGCTGGTCTCGAACTCCTGACCTCAGGTGATTCATCCGCCTTGGCCTCCCAGAGTGCTGGGATTACAGGCGGGAGCCATCACATCCGGCCCCTCCTGTAGTTTCTAACACTGTGGTAGCTGGGACTCCAGGTTGCACGTTTTGTTCTAGGAAATGTGCATCAGCCTTCACCTGCAAGCCCCGGGCCCCCGGCACTCCAGAGATGCTGGACTGGAACCTACCCAAGGCAAAGGCGTCAGTTCTGGCCCCTCCGTTCTCTTCGTGTGGCCCCCAGCAGGCCAGCCGCCCCAGCTCCACAGCGTCCTCCACAAGGGGCCTGCCGAGTAAGTCAGCCTGGGCCCCGCTGGCATGGGAGGATGGCTACCCGCCCACCCGGAGGGAGGGGCATTTTGGTGCTGCATTTGGCCCCGTGCTCCTGTGTGTGCCAGGCCAGGCCAGAAGGGGAGAAGGCCTGCTTCCCTTCCAAACACAAACAGGCCCCAGGGGGCGGCTTCCTTTCCTCCAGGGACAGGTTCTGCATGAATCTTCCTTCCTATTAAATTCCCTTTGGCCTCAGTGACTCAAACTCAAGCTGAGGAGGGAGACCTCCAGGCAGGTCACTGAGAGAGAAGCCCCTTCCCCGCTACCCTCTGTGGAGCTTATAGATTTGGCCCTGAGCTGGCCCTACTGCCCTGGGGTTAGCCCTGAAACTCAGACCTGCCCTGGTGGAAGGTGGTCCAGCCCCTGGTCCAGCCGCTGTGTCCCTGCCTGGCCCAGCCTCTCAGGCCACCCCCAGGTCAAACAGAAGCGGGTGTCTGCTCGCAGGCTGGATGGAGGGGCTGTCAGAGGGCCTGCAAATGGGATGGGCCCAAGGGCCCCACTCTCTCCCTGGGGCCTCCCTCTCACCCTCTCACCTGAGGCTCACTGTAAGGACAACTTTGTCTTTCTCTGTCGCCTTCCAGCCTCTGCCAGTTGATGGCCCCTCCACCTCCACGCCCCAGCTGAGCTGAACCTTTCTAGAGGGCTTTACCAAAACTCAGGGGAAACAAAAGGACAGAACAAAAGAAGGTCAGGCAGGATGAAAGGGGTCCCGCTCAGGATATGCGCATTTCTGTGGCCGCCCCCAGACCGCCCCACCCCACTACCTTCCTGGCCGGGCCCTGGGCGCTCTGGTCAGCTGGGGACATGCTGGGTCGGAAGTGGGGGTAATGGCCATGGCTGGGGAGCCAGGTTGGGACCCCTCCCGCCTCCCACTGGGAAACACGCCCCAAACCCCAGCCGAGCCAGCCGTAGCCCAGGTCAGGTGCAGAGGAAATGCGGCAAATCCAGGGGCGGCTCAGCCAGGAGGAAGGTGCCACTGGGGCAGGGATCCCCAGTTCATAGCGACAGTGACACCAGCAGCTGGCGGCTGGCCTGGCCCCACATCTAGCAGCATAGCATGGTCGCGGTGTGGACGGCTCAGCTAGCCATGGGCGTTGTGTGTCCTGTGGGCTCAACAAAACTGTGAGCTGTTGCCAGCAAAGCTGGCTGAGCGACCCGCACCAAAGGGCCTGCTTCCTGTGAGGAAAAACTGGCCTGCCAGTCGAGCCCCGGCCACAGAACAGGCGACCTGGGGGAGGGAATGTTCCCTCACTTCTAAGCCGGCTGAAAGAGGGACTGAGTGGGACAGAGGGATTCTGTGCGGAGACCGCACAACGCTGGCGTCTTGCTCTGGCTTTTCTCTCCAGGCAGCCAGTCTCACAGGAAGTAAGGATGTCCCCGGGTGTCCCCATCACGTTGCCGGAGGACCAGCCAGCTTCCCGCTCTCAGCTGGCAGCAGCTGCCAGTGATGGATGTAAAGGGACAGTTGTCCACAAGACTCGGGGAGCTGAGGGGAGGCCGGCTCTCCAGGCAGCACCAGACCAAGGCCATCGCAGCCCCACCGGCTGGGTCACTTTCTCCCGGGGCAGAGCCACCAAGGAGGGCCGGGGAGAGCCTGGAACTGCGTCCTGACGAGGGGGATTTCCTGCTTACCCTTCACACACACAGGAGGGGGTGGCTTTTGCCCGCGGGAGATCTTCTGGCCCCAGAAACAGCAGGTGCTGGATTTGCAGCCCTGGCCCTCCAGGCCCCAACGGGGCGACAGTGTGGGGCCAGCCTGGAGCAGGGCCTTTCCAAGGCTGCTGAATCCAGCTCTCCTCACTCAGACCGACTACCGGGACCCAGAAGGAACTTAGATGAAGCTCATTTTATTCTCAAGCCTGTGTCTCAGCAGCAAAGTTGGTGTTTTCTTCCTCTGTTAAAATCTGAGAAAGAAGGCCGGGCGCAGTGGCTCACGCCTATAATTCCATCACTTTGGAAGGCCGAGGCGGGCAGATCACGAGGTCAGCAGATCGAGACCATCCTGGCTAACATGGTGAAACCCCGTCTCTACTAAAAAAATAAAAAAAAATGAGCAGGGCGTTGTGGCAGGCGCCTGTAGTCCCAGCTACTCAGAAGGCTGAGGCAGGAGAATGGCATGAAGCCGGGAGGCGGAGCTTGCAGTGAGCCTAGATCATGTCCCTGCACTCCAGCCTGGGCGACAGAGCAAGACTCCGTCCCAAAAAAAAAAAAAATCTGAGAAAGAATATGGCGTGCTCCACCCTCTTCAAAGCTCTGTGCCTCTGCACACGTTTTTTGAAGGCCTTAAAAAGGTCACTGGTGTGACCAGGGAGCACCTTCTGCCTCCCTCCCTGCACCAGGACCATAGACACAAACAGCTCTACCCACAAAGTGGCCCGTCCTGCAGGGCAGGCCTGTGCGCCCCTCACCAGGGCTGTCGTCAGAGTCCAGACTTAGGGCAGAGGAAGGATGTTTGCCTTCAGGACCAGCAAGTCACAGGTGTCCTGGATGTTACCCAAGCTCTAAAATCAAATAAAACCCATTGGTATTTAATGCTCTGTGTGTGTGTGTGTGTGTGTGTGTGTGTGTGTGTGTGTGTGTGTGTGTGAAGGGAAACGGAAAGCAGATAAAAGTCATGTGCCCTCCCCCAGGCACCTGATCGGCCCACCAGACCCTTCAATGGGGACATCTCTGTGGTCCCAGTGGTCGTAAATAAAGGCTAAGCGCTGGATTTTTCCACAGCCCCCTGACACCTCAGGAGCGCAGGCAGAGGAGGCAAACAGGAGGCCAGGTTACCCAAGAGATGACCAGAAGCTCATCCAGGGCCAGGACCCCGGTTAATCTTGTGAGTTCTTGGCAGTGGCTCCAGGCTGGGCACATTAGATACTGTCGTGTGACTGGCCTGGTAGCCACCTCTTGGTTCTCCGGAAATGTGTGAGGCCACTCTGTGCTCCGGGAAGAAGGTTGCCGTCCTGACCTATCAGCCTCCAGGCCCTCTCTGAACTCCTTACTTGACCTGGAGGCTTCGGGAGCAAACCCACAGCTCGCCCCTGGTGTCAGTGGTGCAGACAGAGGAAAAGTACAGAGTTCCCAAATGCTACTCCTCCGTGGTGAGACTTTGAAAAGGTGTAGAGTGGTTGCAGACGAACAGCGAAGGAGTGAAATGGAAAAATCTCTCTCGCTCCCCACAAGAAGTCCACTCCCCTCCGGATTCCTCAGATGCCACTGGCTGGCACAGCCTTTCCCGCCCTTGGTGTGGGAGCAGCAGAAATCCAGGGGATGGGAGAATCATCGGGGTCAGGTCAGTGTCTACCTCGTATGAAGTCAACAACTACTTTTCCCTCGAGCCTACCAAAGAGCTAAAGTCTGATCTGTAGTTGTCTGATGGTTTGAGGAGAAAAGATAGTCTTTTAGAGAAGTGGGGAGTATCCAACTTAGGGTCAAAATACACTGAGATTAGGCTGGGCGCAGTGGCTCACACCTGTAATCCCAGCACTTTGGGAGGCCAAGGCAGGCGGATCACTTGAGGCCTCCAGGAGTTCAAGACCAGCCTGGCCAACATGGCGAAACCCGGTCTCTACTAAAATACAAAAAATTAGCTGGATGTGATAGTGTGCACCTGTAATCCCAGCTACTCGAGGAGGCTGAGGCACAAGAATCGCTTGAACCTGGGAGATGGAGGTTGCAGTGAGCCGAGATCATGCCCCTGCACTCCAGCCTGGGCGACAGACAGAGACTCCGTCAAAAAAAAAAAAAAAAAAAAAAAAAAAAACAGTTGAGATTACCAGGTGAGATACGGGTGGTTCTTCCGGGAAAGTGCTGAAAATATCACCCAGGCCTCGGCACCACACCCTGGGAGGGTCCACTCCTGGGCGCACGCCTCTGCATTCCAACGCTGACAGCTAGAAATATACTTTGTAAAATACCAACAACTTATTCACAAATATTCCAACTATCTACTGGCTCCAGTGAGCTTGCTGAGGATGGGTATGACCAAAGTCTAAGGGGAAAAAATCGGAAACACAAATAAACCTGCTTAAAAGTCAGGTCTCCAGATGGAGATCCGAGCGGATGGCTCCTAAGGTTTGCCCCTGAAAACTACCAAGGGAAGCCACAGAGAAGGATATTTGGACCTTCTAGAAAATGGTAAGGCCCCAGGTGGATTATGCTTCCTCTGCCCTGGAGGCTGAGCCACCCCTCTGGTTTCTTCTGAGTGGGACTTGATCTCATTTCTGCATTAACAGCAAAGTGGAACTGTCTGGCAAGAGCTTAAATTAGGACCTGTGGTGGGGACTTTAATAGGCAGGTGGAGGTTTGAGATCCAGTTCGCTGCCAGAAATTAGTCAATAGGTGAGGAAAGATTTGACCCAAATCAAAAGAGCCAAAAAATAATAATAATAAAATAAAAATAAAAATAAAAAACCCAGATGAACAAATAAGGTTCATGAAAAAAAAAAAAAAAGCCATGATAAAATATCAAACTTTTTAATAAAAACAAGTCTGGCCCTGTACTTGGATGACCCCACCTGTCTTGTCTAACCCTAATCCCAGCCCCAGTTTTAATAAAACTGTATTTACAAAATGGGCAGCTGGGACGCGGACCAGAGTTACCAATTTGATTTTTTTAAATATTGCATTAAAGTATTACATCATTTGTCTTCATACTGAGTTTTGGGGTATCCCTCTAAATTTTGTATGCAAGGTGACTACCTCACGCCCTCTTCCTAATCCTGGCCTAGAATCTGGGGGATCCCTCTGACCCTTCCACAGTGCCTGATAGCACAGCCTGTGGCTGGTGGTGTGCCTGTTTGCCTATCTTTATCTCTCCAGATACTATTTGGGGTGTGCTGTTCTAAGAAGTGATTAGGTTAGCTTTTGCATATAACAAACTACCTCTGAAACTTAGTGGCTTAAACCAACAAATATATTAGCTTTATAATGATGTGGATCAGTGATGGGGGCTGGGCACAGACAGGCAATTCTTCTGCTGGGCTTGGCTGAACTCAACTGTGTCTTGTGGTCAGAGGGCAGTCAGGGCTTCACTCATGTCTGGTAGTGGGCTGTTGGCTGAGCCCTTAGTTCTCCTCCAGCTTAGGCTCGTTCACATGGTGGCCTCGGGGCTCCCATGGCAGTAAGAGAAATCAAGCCCAAGTCTCATATCCACGTTCGCTATTCTCCCATTGTCCAAAGCAGATCACATGGCCAAGGCACAAGTCTGTGTGAAAGAACGTGGATACAGGGACCCCCAATGAACCAGGGGCAATACTGCTGCAATCTACCACATAGATACTGTTCAGAACTTTGCAGAACTGAATCTTTTAGGGCTGTTTTTCCATTGTGGTATACCCTGTCCATTTAGATTCAATTGAACAAATATATTCTTTGGGGCTGCAGTGTGTCAGGATGTGGAGACACAGTCCCATTGGCTTTCAAGTTGCCATCCATCTTGTAGGGAGAATTTCTGGCCTTTTCGGATGGCCACAGGCCAGGCCGGAGCACCAGCCCCAGGCTGAAGCATCAGGCAGGTTTCTAGGAAATAGTTGCAAAATTAACAAAAAGTCAGGCCTACAGAGCCCCATCCAGAGTCATCTCCTTAAGTTGTCTACTGAAGCCTGGGGGTCGATGGGATCTCAGAAGGGGGACTAGAGAAATAGGAAACAGGATAGAACCGGGGGGTGAGAAAGAAGAGGGCGGGTGCAGGAGTTTCAGGGAAGGAGGAGGAGGAGGACTAGGGATGCAGGGAGGAGGACTAGGGGTGCAGGGGGAGGACCAGTGATGCAAGCTCTGGAACCCAGGGAGGAAAGCAGGGGATGGAGGGCGGTTGCCATAGTCAGGCTGTAGAGGAGATGGGGAAGAAGATAACAGGCTGAGGCCAGCTTGAGAGCAGTTTCCTTAGAGCACTGGCCAGAGGTCAGCCTGCACCCGTGCCTGTCAAGGCAGTGAGCTGGTTGCCAAAGGCATTGAGGTCAGAGGGGAGACCCGGAGAAGGCAGGAAGGTGGATGGCAGGAGCTCTAAGAAGGGAGGCTGGAGCAACGGCCTCAAAGCTGTGATCCTGAGGGATGCTGGGAAGCAAGGAGTCCACCCGGCCGTCCTCTGGCCCCTGGGCAGGAGGCAGTGGTGTGTGGCCAGTTTGGGACAGCTCACGGAGCTGATTACTAAGTTTGGGGGGAATTCTTTTTTTTGTTGTTGCTGTTTTTGTTTTGTTTTGTTTTTGAGACGGAGACTCACTCTGTTGCCCGGGCTGGAGTGCAATGGCACGGTCTCAGCTCACTGCAACCTCTGCCTCCCAGGTTCAAGTGATTCTCCTGCCTCAGCCTCCCAAGTAGCTGGGATTACAGGCACGTGCCACCATGCCTGGCTAATTTTTGTATTTTTAGTAGAGACAAGGTTTTACCATGTTGGTCAGGCTGGTCTCCAACTCCTGACTTCATGATCCACCCACCTCAGCCTCCCAAAGTACTGGGATTACAGGCATGAGCCACCATGCCCGGCCCAGTTTGGGGGAATTCTATGAGCTGCTTTTAAACATAGCCATTACCAAACTTAAGTTATATAAACTTATAGTAAAATAAATTCTATTAAAAACAAAAGGAATAAATAATCAAAACATCTTTTCCTAAGGATTTTCCTGCATCCACTGTCCTCTGCCCTGGAGGTTATTCACATCTATTGCATCTGTATGGTGGAAATATGACAGAATTAACGAAGGCTGCTAGACATCCCTTCCCAATTCTGTATTCAGTGACATCATTTTGGTAGCTTGAAACTGGCCATAGTGGAGGTACTTAAACCACAGAAATTGGCAAGCACCACAAACCAGAGCTTTAGCCCCCACCTCCAAGAGCCGGTTGTTAAATGTTTACCAACACACCACTGGCAGAAGCAGTGCAAGACGGTGCAGCCTCGGAGGCAGGATGCTGGGCGGAACAGGAACTAAGTCAGGGAGAGCTAGAGGAAGCAAGGCAGTGTGCGTCCCTGAAATGGCAAAGCCAAGGATGTGTCATGTGTGATGGAGAGGCAGTGGCTGTCTCTGCCCACGTGTCTTTCTACAGGTCCTCAGGTCTCACACTGGCCCGAAGTACTTGTGTCAGCTCCCCTTCCAGCATCTGGCCCAGAGCCTCTCCCCGTTTCTGTGATCAGTGGGGGCTTCTTCCAGTTGTCCTGGGTGTCGCTTGGACACCTTCCTGCTTGGCACAGCGTTGCTGCTAACACTGTCACCGTCCCTCTGGGCCTCTGGAAACGTGCCCGCCCCAAGTGTGCACAGGTGTGGAGCTGCTCTTTGTCACCAGTCTTCAGTGATGAGTCACGAGATCCTGGGAGCGAAGAGTTCACTGGATACGTGAGAAGTGTGGCCTGGGTCTTAAACAGCCTGGAGTGAGGCGCACTGACCAGGCTGAAGGGGAGGGGAGTACAGGGTGCCGCCCCCCAACCAGCAAGTTTCCAAGTAATGCCAAGCCAGGCCTCAACTCAGGCAGCGCTGTCTTCAAGGGAGAAGCCAGGCAGAGGGTCCCAATGGCTTATAGGCCCTGAGGGGCAGGGCCAGGGACCCCGGGTTTACCGAGGAAAGGTGGGGTAGAGGTTGGATAAAGTACCTCAGCCAAAATCAAGAAGAGTGGGGCTGAAGGGCTGGGGCCTGGAGTCGGGAGGCCATTACCATTGCCATTCCCAGCCAAAGGCCAGTCTTTTTTTTTTTTTTTTTTTTTGAGACAGTCTTGCTATGTTGCCCAGGCTGTCGTTAATTGATCCTCCTTCGAGGCCTCCCAAAGTGCTGGAATTAAAGACACGTGCCAGCATGCCCAGCCAAAGGCCAGTCTTTCAGGCCCCGTGATTAGAATGTGTGCACAGCTTGCAGGGCGCGGTGGCTCACGCCTGTACTCCCAGCACTTTGGGAGGCCGAGGTGGGCAGATCACGAGGTTAGAAGTTCGAGACCAGCCTGGCCAACATGGTGAAACCCTGTCTCTATCAAAAACACAAAAATTAGCCGGGCATGGTGGCACGCGCCTGTAATCCCAGCTCCTCAGGAGGCTTGAGGCAGGAGAATTGCTTGGACCCAGGAGGTGGAAGTTGCAGTGAGCCGAGATTGTGCCACTGCACCCCAGCCTAGGCGACAGAGAGAAAAAAGAATGTGTGCACAGCACCCGGGGAGGCCCTTGGCCCCAGGATCTGAGGATCGGCCAATGGCTCAGCCTGGCCTCGGGCATCCCACCTGGGCCCTGTTGGTATCACTGCCCTGGGGCTGTGTGGCAAACCAACAAGGAGGTGGCTGCTGCGCACTGAGCACCCTGGACAAGGCCCAGGGAGTCTGCAGCAGAGACGGGGAGTGGGGGAGGGAGGCTGGGGAGAGGGAAATCAGCATCCCTGGGAGACCCCAGCGGCAGCCAAGACTCCGAAAACGGCATGAAATAGTGGTCAGGTGGAAAAACGCGAAAACCAAGCCAAAGAGGAGAGAAGGTTCAGATTTTGTGAAACCCCCCTCTCCCGGGGACCCTGAAAATAGTGACAGGGAGGAGACCTGGCTCTCTGACTCACTGCTATTGCTGTGCCACATGAGTGCACTTGAGTGGGCAAGGCTGCTGGGGTACCAGGAGACCCCAGGACCAACGCCCCATCCTAGGAAAGGAGGCAGAGTCCGGCAGGGCGAGGCTACTCTGGGGTGAGGCCAAGGCCCAGGCAGCTGGAGGTTCGTTGTTCTCATGGCTGAGAGGAAGAATGGAGGGAGTGGCCACTGTCAATACAAGGATCTCAAGGACAATTAATTTCTGAGTCAGGCCGACTAGAGCCAACAAGGGGGGCCACGAACAATGATGCCGCTTCCAGAGGATGGGTGGAGAGTGGCATCGCACAACACCTGGAACTCGGGCTTCAGGGCGTCCTGGTGCTCTGCTGAGCCCATCCATGAGGGTTGTCTGGTGTCGCTATGGTGCTGCCGGGCCAGGGTGAGGGTTGGGCGTGGCCTCCCTCCAGGCGGAGGCTTCCCCTCCGCACTCTTGCCATGTGGTCCACATGGGAACTGCCTGACTGCCCTGGTCGGGAGCAGATGGGGCCCCCCACTTTCCCTTTCAAAGACAAAGCTGAGATGAGAGCTGCCGGTGGCTGGGCCTCCATCTCTGGAGGAAGCCATGGTACAGGAGGAGAGACAGAGCCGCTATTCAGGAAGAGGCAGAGGGGCCGATTGCCCGGTGGAATCTGGTTGTTTCCAGCAACACCCGGCCCTGCTCAGCTTATCTGAGCCAATAAATCCCTGCCTTTAAAATAAAAAAGATACTTCAGGTTGGGTGTTGCTAGGAATCCAAAGGTTTATAACGAAAACACTGACCCTGGTCACTCAGACGTGGGATTGCTGCTAGAGTTTTATGTGCCTCATTGCTCCCACCTTCATTCAAAACCTACCTTCAAGCCCGGTGTAACTCCGGTCCTTAAATTTTTAACTGTGAAACCA